ACTGACTCAACAGGCACGAGATTGTCTCAACAGGCACGAGATTAACTCAACAGGCACGAGATCCTAGAGTTAATTATTTATTTGAACTTTAAATTCAAAATTCGAATAAATAGTCGTGTCTGTTTGTGAAACAAGACATTTTTCTGAAAGGGTCTATTGGTTGCCTATAAATACACAAGAATTCCAACGAATTGTATATAGAAAATCACAAGTGTTACTGCAGGCTTTATTGTATCCTGAAGAGAATCGTTTTGTATTTTCCCTAAATTAGTATACATGCGATAACTCTTTAAGGACAGTCGATTTTCACGCCTCAAAGCCAATTTGATTATTTTATTTCTAACATCCTATGTATAGCTAATGCATAGAAAACCATGACATTAGTTATACAAAGGCTATTAATGCATGCATTAGCATGGTTAAAGACAAAATTATCCTTAAAGTCCCTTAAGTTAAAGAATATGGAGGGCATTTTTGTAAACAATTAAATTTCTTAAAAATTATGCAATGCATTTTAATTTTTAATACACCACACCAAACAATGCATAAGAAATAATCTCTATATAACTAATGGTTGCATTATTAATCCCTGTATTTTTAACCCCTGCATTACTAATGCACCTTATTCAGCGTTATTAGAATAAGTAAACTTCTTTGTTGGCACATCCAAATTCCAAAACATAAGATTTCTTTTACGGGATATAAGGGAACCTGTAGTTATAAGATTGCATTGGCATAAAGAGGTAAGAGTTAATGTTAATGATTGAGGAGGAGGCATTGAGGTGTATTTCTATTATTGGTTTAAATCAAACGTCAAAAGGTCATTGGAAACTGAAAGATATTGGCATTAGCTTTACTGTCCAACTAATCAAACTAGAAATTGAAATGGAAAGTAGATTTAGAAAAAGGAAAAAAAAGAGATATTAAATAAAGGATATTAATAATACAGCTTATATAAAGTTGGAAGAATGAGATATTATAATTTAGATATAGTCTTCAGAATTAAAATTTAAATAATAAATTCTATTAAATGTAACTTTTATGTTTAAATATGACATTCCAACCTCAAAATGCAAAAGATGATATTAAATTTGGAAACGAGAGGGTATTAAGCAAAATATAAAAATAAGTTTTTGATAATTTAAATAGCAGTAATAAACTGTAATTAAAAAAACAACGGTTTATGCGCAAACAATCTATATACAATGACATTCGCAAGTTTTAAGGTTAAATTTCTTTATTGATTTTTGTAATCAACCCTTTAAGTGATTAAAGTTGTATAAATTAATTATATTCTGCGCATCACATATATTCTTCTAATTTTTGATTTCAAGAAGAAAAAATTAAGTTTTTAATATTGGACTAATGAATTCAAGTATTTAACTAGTGGAACATGATCCGTCTTGTTTTGGATTGAAACATAATTGGTTATTTGTATAAAATAAAATTATAAATAAATATCTTAAAATTCACACTACGAATTCATGAAAGAAGAAAATGTCAGAATATATCACTCTATTGATAATTACTACTATTAATTTTCTTAAGATTAATTAGGCTTGGCTTATGCAGGCGATGCATTAACAAGAAGAAAAAAAAAACAAAGAGGAAAAAGAAAAGGGATTTTTACCTATCTATACCATACATCAAACCTTATTACCAAAAATGTTCATAATTTGTTATTTACCTGTGTAGTCCATACTTTTACTACAAATTATATACCAATCCAAAAATAGGTAGATTTTGCCATAAAAAACGCGCTAAAATGAAGGCACCAGATCTGCGTGTGATTCTGTCAACATTAAATTCGAATTGCTGCGTAATTCTCTCCTTCCTCAACGGAAAGAGATCTCTCTTCTCTCACTCAATTACAATTCTCAAAAAACGCAAGCTACTGAAGCTCCAGTAATCAAACGGAAAGGAGATTTGTGTTCTTCATCTTCATCTTCATCTTCATCTGTTCTTCCATATATTTTCCGCCATTGATAGCCATTAAAAAGCTTGAAAGCTTTGAATTCAAATTTGGGTTTTCAAAAATCATTATTTGTTTGGATTGGGTGTTGTTGTAAATAATTCGGAATATGTTTAGGAGTTTATATCTCAATTTTGAGGGGTTTTGGTGAAGATTAGACTTGGTTTTGACTGAATTTTAGATTGAAACTCGAAGAAGAAGAAGAAGAAGAAGAAGAAGAAG